TAGAAAATATGAAAGCTGGGCTCTATGCAATATTAGGCAAAATGAGTCTTGTGACCTTTCACAAAAATGCACATACTGAAACATAGTAAACACTGAAGAAAACACTTTTAGGAGTGTATTTGTGTACTTTAAGGGTGAGAGTTTATGTTTGAGGATGATTAGAAGATAAGTAATCCTTTTTGGGTTTGTTTTTTATCCCAGATCTCTCTTTTACTTCTGCTTTTTAAAACCAGAAAATGTCTGAAACTAAGCAAAGGAAAAAAGGTATTTCTTCATCTAAGACCAGTGAAGGTTCACAAAATGTTGAGAAGCACAGTATTTATTGGAAGCTGGCAAATCCCAGGACCAGCAATAATCAGAGTTCCTTTTGGATGGACTCACGGACAAGCTTGACCATAATTTCCCTTGCTGTTTGCCTGGTGATGACCTGGTAGGTAACCCTCTAAAGCGTATTTTAATATTTTCTTTTGTCTTCTGTATGGTATTCAGTCACAGGCTGTATGATGTATATTTGAATGCCATGCTTGGGTTAAGGGACTACATAAACTTGTTAAAGCCAGAAGAATCAAGAAAAGAATAGAAATACAAGGATGGAAATATGGGTGCACCGTATGTTATTATAGAAGCTCAATTTGTTATATCATGTTGAAAGTTTAAAAGGTGCCTTCCTCATGAATTTTAAATAGCTGGTTTAGAGACTACTTTTAACTGTGAAGAGCAACTTAATCTGCCGATAAGTACAACAAGGCTCATTCGGCAGGTCATAAATAGACAGTAGAAATGAAACAGAGTTTTTCATAAATAAATTGCTCAGCAGTGTGGTAAATTGTTCCTTAGGTGGAGTCCTCAAGTAAAGGTCAAATACATTTGTTAAAGACGTTTTAGAATATCTTAGCAGCATCAGTACCTTAGTTCCATCAGAAACTGAGCTTCATGCAAAAATTCTGTGATGAAACTCTCAGAAATCTAGTGCAAGAAATTAGTTCAGGTTATTCAGTCTATATATCAATCTGAAAATTAGGGTAAATTTTTTTCTTATTTTAATGTCACCTAGAGTTCATTATCTAATTTTTTGTGAAACAGAACAACATAGAATAAAATTATTACTTATGTTTCTGGTTTATATACATCTGTTTGTCTCCTTCGCAAATATCTATCTGTAGCTTTTATTGACTAACTTAATCTTACAGAACATTGTATGTATTTTGAAACTTCTAATTGTAAATAATAATTTACCATAAATTATAAATATCACTTTATTTATGTGATCACTTTATATTATGCACAAGCATATGAAGTAAGCTCTGTTTTTTGTACTGATAAAATTGTTCGTACTACTGAGAGGACCCTTGCATACTCTACAAAAGACCTTGTTTGGGGATTAATAAACATCCAGCAAAATTCAGGGGTTTTTGCTTGGTTGTCTCATTGCTTTTTTGATTAGACAAAGTTCAGAAAGCATCCAAGTTCACAGTAAATGAATCTAGAATATGTATAAAGTACAGGATTGAGCTGGCATTGTTATTACAGTAGCTATACAGGCTTTGCCACCGTGTGTTCTGGGGTGGTTATAATTAAACGTTAACCAGCCTTTTTAAATCCAAGGACTTCTATGTATGCTTTTGTGATGCTTTGTAAAAAAGTCCAAATTTGTGTGTGTGTGTGGTTTATTTCCACCAGTTAAATAATACTTCATCGATAAAATATATTGTGAGGCAATGCATTACGAGTATGTCACAGTCTTCTTGTGCCAGTGCTCTGATTGGACATTTTTTCTGTCTGAATGGCAATACAGTGTAAAAAATGAAGACATCTGTGGATGTTTCCTTGTTTTCCTACCTCTTTTGAAAGATAACTCCAGTATCTAGATAGATCAACTTAATTAAATCCCGATTTTTTTTTTCTCTTACATATTGATCTAGCAAATTCTGTGAATAAAAATTCCTCCAGTAACTTATTGCTGTGAATCAGGTCCTGGAACACTTAATATATGCTAATTATGTAGTTATGTTTTCTGTTTATTTACTTGCAATTTGCAGGTTTCTGTTTCAGCAGTCAGTTCAATTTACTGATATGGAAAGAAAGTACAATTTCTTACAGCAAGAAGCTGAAAAAATCCTGGATGTGGAAAATAAAGTAAACTTAATTTCTGAAAAGGTAATAGT